AGGTTCCATATCCATCCGCCAAAAGGTATGACCCCTATATAGTCCATTTAAAAACTCGTGGTATTGTTCTAAATAACGCCATAGTTGGCTTCTAGGGTACCTAGTATGCCACTATTTGGTATCAAAATAAAGAGGAGGAGTTCAACTTTCATTTGAATTACGAATATAGCGATGTAGGTCAAAAATAGTTCCGACGTGAGCATGCTTACTACGCGTTTGCCCATCATATCAGAATTGAGGAAGTGGTAGCAAACGCGAGTCACAATAAATGGACGCTGATATCTCAAAAAGTAACCTGACTCCCTATAATTTGATGTAGATCAATCGAACCCCTATATGAACAGGTACATTTTGATATATAACACTATGGGGGGTAAGCGTTTTATAGTTGGTCACGAACGCCATATGTGCAAAGTATTGTTATGAATTTTCGAATTTGGTGTTGGATTACGGTACTCATACCTTAATATGAGGCCTAAAATTGTCTGCTAGTTGGCCAGAGACCAATATTCTAGCAGAATTTGAGAACAGAATCGATTTTTTCGTTCTGCGTAGGGCAAACAATGATTTGAAATCACTTTCAACCATTCTGTGAGTATAAGAATGGTCATAAGAGGCCCGTGGAAGGTCTGGAATGAAAGAAAGCCCTATGAAATTCCGTCAAAATTGCAGGTTATTTCTTCATTTTTTGCTAAAATTACATGATTTTCAGGGCCCATATCTCAGTGAAATTGCTACAATGTAGCGATGTTTCATTTTTACAGGCTAGATACACGTGTCAGGTCGACAGAAACAGTAAGCATGTGTGATTTTTAAATTGCTACATTGTAGCAATATTTATTTCAAAATACAGGTGTGAGGGAAACTGCAATTTAGTTAGATTTGGGCGAAAATGGCCAAATTTCAGTCAAAATCCTCGGGACACAGGACCTTTGTCTTAGATTTAGTCAATGATGCAACTCTTAGTAGAAGGTGTGCCATATAGGGAATGAAAGCTGTTTGTCAGACGTATCATTTTCTTCAATAAACTCAGAGATAGTCAGGTTAGATTTGTGACGTCACAGTGGCAAAGTTAGACTAGCATATTTAGACGTATTTGGGGTAGGGCAAATTAACCCTTTCTAGCCAAAATGGATAAATTTCTCACATATTCAGCCATTTCCGACGTTTTTATGCATTTTTGAACTAGAAATGATATTTTCTGCCAAAAAAAGTTGCAGAGACAAAAATCAGTGTGATGTCATAACACATTAAGGTATGAGGTTCCATATCCATCCGCCAAAAGGTATGACCCCTATATAGTCCATTTAAAAACTCGTGGTATTGTTCTAAATAACGCCATAGTTGGCTTCTAGGGTACCTAGTATGCCACTATTTGGTATCAAAATAAAGAGGAGGAGTTCAACTTTCATTTGAATTACGAATATAGCGATGTAGGTCAAAAATAGTTCCGACGTGAGCATGCTTACTACGCGTTTGCCCATCATATCAGAATTGAGGAAGTGGTAGCAAACGCGAGTCACAATAAATGGACGCTGATATCTCAAAAAGTAACCTGACTCCCTATAATTTGATGTAGATCAATCGAACCCCTATATGAACAGGTACATTTTGATATATAACACTATGGGGGGTAAGCGTTTTATAGTTGGTCACGAACGCCATATGTGCAAAGTATTGTTATGAATTTTCGAATTTGGTGTTGGATTACGGTACTCATACCTTAATATGAGGCCTAAAATTGTCTGCTAGTTGGCCAGAGACCAATATTCTAGCAGAATTTGAGAACAGAATCGATTTTTTCGTTCTGCGTAGGGCAAACAATGATTTGAAATCACTTTCAACCATTCTGTGAGTATAAGAATGGTCATAAGAGGCCCGTGGAAGGTCTGGAATGAAAGAAAGCCCTATGAAATTCCGTCAAAATTGCAGGTTATTTCTTCATTTTTTGCTAAAATTACATGATTTTCAGGGCCCATATCTCAGTGAAATTGCTACAATGTAGCGATGTTTCATTTTTACAGGCTAGATACACGTGTCAGGTCGACAGAAACAGTAAGCATGTGTGATTTTTAAATTGCTACATTGTAGCAATATTTATTTCAAAATACAGGTGTGAGGGAAACTGCAATTTAGTTAGATTTGGGCGAAAATGGCCAAATTTCAGTCAAAATCCTCGGGACACAGGACCTTTGTCTTAGATTTAGTCAATGATGCAACTCTTAGTAGAAGGTGTGCCATATAGGGAATGAAAGCTGTTTGTCAGACGTATCATTTTCTTCAATAAACTCAGAGATAGTCAGGTTAGATTTGTGACGTCACAGTGGCAAAGTTAGACTAGCATATTTAGACGTATTTGGGGTAGGGCAAATTAACCCTTTCTAGCCAAAATGGATAAATTTCTCACATATTCAGCCATTTCCGACGTTTTTATGCATTTTTGAACTAGAAATGATATTTTCTGCCAAAAAAAGTTGCAGAGACAAAAATCAGTGTGATGTCATAACACATTAAGGTATGAGGTTCCATATCCATCCGCCAAAAGGTATGACCCCTATATAGTCCATTTAAAAACTCGTGGTATTGTTCTAAATAACGCCATAGTTGGCTTCTAGGGTACCTAGTATGCCACTATTTGGTATCAAAATAAAGAGGAGGAGTTCAACTTTCATTTGAATTACGAATATAGCGATGTAGGTCAAAAATAGTTCCGACGTGAGCATGCTTACTACGCGTTTGCCCATCATATCAGAATTGAGGAAGTGGTAGCAAACGCGAGTCACAATAAATGGACGCTGATATCTCAAAAAGTAACCTGACTCCCTATAATTTGATGTAGATCAATCGAACCCCTATATGAACAGGTACATTTTGATATATAACACTATGGGGGGTAAGCGTTTTATAGTTGGTCACGAACGCCATATGTGCAAAGTATTGTTATGAATTTTCGAATTTGGTGTTGGATTACGGTACTCATACCTTAAAGGAATAATGCATTTCTTCAGGGTTTTAAAGATAAAAATATCCTGAAAGCAATGGATCGCATGAGTTCTCCCTATGGGAAAATAACATGGGAAATATTGTTTTCCACTTTATCTCAAAGGACATATCAAGAATATCGCGTCATTTTACCACGTGCTTTTTTGATTGTTTATGTGAATAATTATATGACGTCACAACTAGATTATCCAAACACGTCAATGATATACTTGTTCATTTCCCCGGGAACTTTCGGGGAAATAAGTAGAAAATAAGTAAACTAACATGACACCTTAGCAGTAATGAAGATAAGAAACTATTGACCAGAAAGGTAAAATGAGCTCCTTTCAAATGGCAGATCGCTAAATAAAACGGGGCGTCGTTATTAAGCAATTTTCAATATTTAAGGCTGCTATGTAATCAACAGAATTATAATTGGCCATTTGATAAATGACCTATTTTGATTTTTTGGGGGAAGCTTATTTTTTAAACCCCAAGTACTGATCTTTTTTCTACTATGTAAGATTAATCTAGATCTTCCTATAACCGTTTCGAGTAAATTCTGATTTTAACAAATTTCTTTTTTACAGCCAGTTAAAGACGTTGAATTTGGCCATTTTCACCATGTTTTCACAAAAACTATGACGTCACGCTACTGCTCTCCATACAAAGTGATTTCAAAACACGTTTTTTCTGGGGGAAGCTTATTTTTTAACGTTGGGAATTCAATTTTTTCACTATGTTACTCATAATAGTGTCATGTATAATATGCCATTTCGAGAAAATTCTAATTTGTAAATTATCACATACTTTATGTAAGTCACATACTTTATTCACTTTTTAAAAATCAGGTTTTTCAAATAAAACGTCTGAATATTCAGAATAATCAGGATGAAATCGTAATTACGCTTAAAAATGTTAGTTTTCTCTGAAAAATCCGAAGCGTCAATTTTTTTTATGTAAGTCGGTGTGTCGTTAAAAAAATTGGGAACTTATAACAAAAATTCGAGGATCATATGTTAAATATCGGTTTTTAAGTCCGCTCTTTGGCTAAAAATCAGGGTTAGCACGGAAAATTGGTATTTCTCCGATGCCATTTCGTGTCGAAGTTTCTGATGACATGTTTGATAACAATTGTGTTCCTTGTAACACATCGAGGAAACAATAGTTAGATGAGATATCATACTTTTACTGAGTGACTACACGTAAAATGTCAAACACATGAAGATAATTAATGAATTCTATGAAACATATTACTTCCATTTCAATGTATCGCGTTTAATATGCATTTAACATGAAACTTTACATCAATTCTTGATTAACTCTTTCATCATGATCAAACTACATATCAAAATTATAGCAATAGTGCATAATTTAAAATAAAATTATTTATGTTTATCATAGAACCTTTTAAAAATAGCCCAAGTGGTATTAATTACAATAGTGATAATGGCAATAATATCAAAGCTTATTCTGGACCAAATGACCCTCAATGGAAACATAATTTCCATGTTATCCCCGTAAGTGGTGACATGTTGTAACACTAGTAGTTTTTGTGGACGGTGTTCGGTGGTTGGTGGTCGGGGTTTGAAGTTTTGCGGTTGTTGGTCGGCGTTTGAAGTTCGACAGTTGGTGCTCGGCGGTTGACATCTGTAACAAATAGCAGGTAGTGACATTTTGCATGCCAAAGCCTTGTTGTAGTTATTATCACCCCAATGTCCTTGATTGGTGGACACTTCGTAATGGATGTAATCCATTTTACACTATATTCATTACTATCATCTCTATAGGTTCAATATTCGATATTTTTTTTCCATATTTGATTTTCACGTTGAATAAGCTTACACAACTTAAATCTGTAACAACAATATCAATTTATTGTTATTTCACAGCTGGAAATTGTGTAGACCTACCCGAGTTCTTCATTGGTGGAAGGTGACGTCGTTCTCAATCCTGATAGGGTTTAACGAATGGGAAAATAAATCAATAATTGCAGATAAATTTTGTTGCAACGAAGAGATACCATTTGATACAAGATATGATTGTTATACTTTGACAGATATCCATGTGATTGTGTGAGTGAGAGAGAAAAATACCATCGCCATTTGCAGCGTTGTCTAACTTCGGATGAGTTATGATTGCTATCAGACGGTATGTTAATTCTTTTATTTTATTGAAACATTAACATATTCAATTTTATATTCTCATTTAGGTAATTATAGATATGTTGCTAAACAGAAAAAATGATGCTCCTTCCTATGGAACTGGGTTTGACGCAGAATTAGGATTTGCAAATTAAAGTGTTGTCAAGAAATAAGCAGCCAACTGATCGTTTCGAGTTGAACACAAAAATGATTTATTCAGGAACGTAAGAGATCTCGGCCTTCTCTAAGTCCCTTTCCAGGCCTGTCTTAGCGGCCATTCAAATGATTTAAGCTATTCGCAAGTCGCAACCTGATCATTTTTAATGTAAAAATAGAGACCCCCGGGTATAGACCAAACCTACCAAAAAACCGCGATATATCAGGCTTCTACCAGATTATAAAAAAATTGTCCCTTGTGGACCACCCTCTACGTGAATCGCGGAAATTAACGAATATAAGAACTCTGAGTATTTTCTAGGCTAGCCTGCGGTCTAAAAAAACTGGATAACCCATACGGAGACCGTAAGACGACCGCAGTTTTCGTACGCTCACTGCAGAAATTTACTGATTTAATAGATCTGGGGTCGACCATTCGAATGGGGAAAGCATATATGCATTGAGAAATAAGGACGAAGTAAGACCCTGAAAATATTTACATTTGACTTTCAGCATGCCCATTTCTTTGTCACATTCAATAGATGCAATTACATGTCTCTGGTATGACAGTTATTACTATTCAATCAATACGATTGTGAGATTTTTTTAAGTATTGTAATATTATAATATCAATCACATTTGCTCTACGGCGACCAAATGTCCACCGTAGTTCCCTTTTGGCAAATTCCCACTGCAACCATATGTAATCTACGGTCGGCTTACGGTCTCCATACATCATAGTCGCTGTAGAAAATTTATAACTCGGACTTATACATTTTTTCATTTCTATGATTACCGTAAAAGTGAAAACGCCGTAGCCGAACCGTAGAAAATGCTAGTCGTACGTTTGGCCAATGGTTTTATGACTGCCCCGGGGTTTTATGAGTTACAATTGACAATTACAGTAGTATCGCAATACGGGGCCCCCGCGGCCGCCTTGTGTCTGCCTTGGCATTTGTCAAAAGAACTACGCCCGCCGCGAAGACGCCCTACGGTGTCAGTGAGTCATCTTTTAAAAGGTCGTGCAGCACCCATAAATTTTCTATTTTCACAAAATCAAAATACGACTTCATAGCAAATGTGACTGTTAAAAACATCTGAACATAAAATTTTCACGGCAGACATATAATGGCTATTAGGCGTAAAAGGTAATATGCCATGTACGGTCGCCGTTGCAAGTGTGACCACGGTAGTTTTACGGTTTCTGAATGGTGTATCAAGATTTTAAAGGCCGTAGAGTCCCCGTAGAAATCATAAGTCAGAGTTCACCTTTTCTATTCACCGTAGAAATAAACAAGCCGCTGTCGGACCGTGGAAAGGTCTCGCGGTGGCCGTACATCGGGCCTGGGGTCGACTTGCAGCTTATCCTAGATTTTATGGTTTACCCCTGCGAACCGTAGGATCGCCGTAAGCACCCCCTGCGACCGCCTTAAATGTATCTTGGTTTTTGTCAAGAAAAACTACGCCCTTCGTTGAGATGCCTTTCACTGATGGTGCATTACCATTCAAAGGTCATGCGACAACCATAATTTTATGTCTCCTCAAAATCAAAATACTCCGCATGCCTACAGTAGCAAAACTGCAGTAGCAGTGATTGCTAAAGTATATGATCGCATAAATTCACAGGCAACCATAGGAATGTACGGTCACCGTAGCAAATGTGACGTAGGCCTTAAAAATGCTTAAAGGTTGTATATAATTTTCTAAGGCCCCCAATGTAATTCATTTGCTCGCTATGATTTGTATTTCGAATATTTTTTTGAGTGATGGATTTTCAATTTCACAACAGGGCATCTGTACTACTGGACCATTTTGATAATTGGTAAAGTCTACGTGCCATTTTGATACAAATACATTTAAAACCGCACAAGATGCATTTCATTCATGGATCACTGAATCGTGCGTTTCATTCATGCACCACTAACACTGCACATGTAAACATGAATAAATACATTATATATATATCGTATATGCATTATATTGGCGTTTTTGCATCAGCTCATTGGTGTTTTTGTATTATTGATAATAAACAGGGTGTTTTTGCATCAGAAGTGAGAAACTAAAACCGTGAATTTCTCGCTTCTTGATGATGCTAGATAAATACTAAGAACATTTTTTTAAATAATAGATCGTGTCTTAGTGCACGTATACGATTATAGAGAAACTCGTCCAACAAATAGGTTTAAATGGGGAAAACATCTTTCGTGTCGTGTCCTCCCCGTCTTCCATTTTGAAATATGCGCGTAGTTTGTCAGAGTTTCAAACTGCGTGCCTAGTAGGCGCGCAGATTGACATGAGCACCGTGGTATAGCCTATGAAGCGTTTGATGACGTCATCATTTATTGCACAGCTTTATACATAGGCCAAGGGCTTATTTAATACCCGGGGCTTAGTTGTGTACCAAACGAAACGAGTAACGACACGACATCCGGGGCTTTGTTTGGTCTTCATTAGCCAATAGTGTATCATGTTTATTGTTTATTGGTTGATTCAAATCGGATGCGGTAAAAAAACGAACGCCAATTTTCGAACGATCCGGGTATCACGTTCGCCCTTGCATAGGCCTGGAAACATCGAGTCAATACACCAAGTAGTCTCTTTACTTGGTGTTTTCTACTCGATCTTTTATGCTTGTTCCGGGCCTATGGTTTTATACTTTATCCGTATGAGCTGTGCAATAAACGATGATGCAATCAAACGCTTCATAAGTTAAACGTTATGGGATAAATAAACATGCTACAAGTGAGTCGCGAAATTTCTCTGTAAGGTTATTCAATTCGAGATAAAATAATTTTGTAAACGGGGAGGTTATATGAGATTGTTCAGATCACCCAAAGTAATCGCATAATTCATATGAAAATGTTCAAATTCTATCTGAAACATATCAGGGCTTTTATTTTTTATACGAGATTCTTTAATTGCGGGTAATTGAAAATCGACATTCCCATGCTAACCAATGGGAAATGGTAGGTTTGCCGCAAGTCACATGACAGAATAACCATACATCTGAGTCCTCGCAAAAAATACGAGTTAGGCAGGCAATTGAATTTGCTAACTTTATTTAACAAAACATTGATATGTTGATTTGTTTTTACAAATAACCCCTCCCATTGAAATAACACAGGAGGTGAAAAATTATTTTCAAAAATGACTTTGAAGCGCTGTAACTTTAGTATTCCTCAAATAAACTATACACTTAGTGTTCAAAAAAGTTAGACAATTCAATTTTCTATACAAAAATATTTTTGCTGAATCTTTTACTGAAAAGATATCCTGATTTCTGATTTGCCCCGAACCCTCCATTTCCCATTGGATTACATGGGAATGAAGATTTTCAAAAATTCATCAACTTTATCATCAATTTCCGACCTATTGTAATTGAGGAAAAAAATTGAGAAAATTCAGAGGCATTGGAAATCAAGTCAAATTACGTTTCAATCAATATTATAAGTTTATTTCATCGCCGGTTAAGTAAATAAGAATTCAAACGCAAAGAGGCTTTAACACGTCGTAGTTCAATGGGGGAGCTAGGGTTGCCAAACCTATGGAGGGGAGTGTACAACCTATATGAAACCTAGAGTAGCTATCATTTCGAGTAGATTAAAAGACGTCGGGTATAAGGTGTGTTATTGTGTCGATTAAAATAACCTTCCAAAGAACAATTAAAATATAACATCGGGAGTTTAACTCAAATTGCCATCAATCTTGACTCCGGGCTGACAGCTGTTGTGAATCTGATCGTTTATAGAACGCAAAACACTCATATGTCTTCAATCTAAACACCTAGTTCATTGACTTATGATAGATAACAGGGATAAACAAAGTACTAAAAATGCATTTTACCTCTAATTAAACAAATTAAATCCTATAAAAATAATTCAAAATGAGACACTATGAATATCAAAAAACAATAAAATTAAATTTGGATTTACCTGATGGAATGAAAATATGTTGCTTTACAGACTGGCCACGTTGTTGTTTGCCTGTTTTAATGGTGTCGTGAGGATGTCTAGTAGGATTGCCAGGAGACGTTTGAGGATCGCTCACGGGCCCACACTGAAGACCTGGGTAATAGCAAGTGTCGGAGCAATCCTTGGATTCTTGCTGGGTAATGTTCTAAGGATGACCTTCCCTGTATGTGAGACTATAGGAGCAAATCTTGATACCACTGATTTGTACGATACTGAAAATACCGATTTACGTCCGAGTGAGAAATTTTTGTTTGTTGGAGTTATGACGACTCGGAGATATTTGTTTAGTCGTGGAATCGGAGTATACAAGACATGGGCTAAGTCCATTCCTGGTAAGGTTGTCTTCTTCCACGGTAGGGTCAACGACAGCGATCCTGATATAAAGGAGTATGACAACGAAGGAATAAAAGATCTTGAAGTGGTTGTGCTTGACGATGTTGACGACAACGTGTATCCACCACAGGAGAAGGTCTTCAAGATGTTGGAATATATGCATCGCCATTACCTGGCTGACTATGAATGGTTCATGAGGTCCGATGATGACACATATGTCAAGGCAGACGCTTTGGAGAAATTCCTAAAATCGCTTAACAGCTACAAGGTGTACTACCTTGGCCAACCGGGTGAAGGTCAAGGCGAGGAGTTTGGTAAGATAGGAATAGGTGACAAAAGTAACTATTGTATGGGAGGTCCAGGAATGATTTTCAGTAGGGCAACACTGTACCATGTTGGACCAAAGTTGGATTCATGTCTTAATCTTAAAACTTACCAATCAAATCACGAAGATTCCGAAGTTGGAAGATGCATAACTAAACTATCCAATGGATCATGTTTATGGGCATATGATGTAAGTATACCACTTTCTTTGATGAGCCAAGAAAGTATGTTGTGTTCACAATTTGACAACTTTAGTCCAGGTTTCTTTTGCATATAACTTAAGTGTTCAGTTTGCACGATGCATGTTCGCGATAACTTTAAATGAATTTGCATATCGCAATTATGTGATATTGAATTGGAATCGAACTTTTAATTGTTACTATGCATTCAATCAATCGTGTTTAATTCAATGTTCCAGAGCAGAGGCATATTCCATCACAACTACTTTGAACAAAAAGGGACATTTAAGGAATACTTCAATGAGACTAATGTGAAGATTGCTATCACATTACATCCAATCAAACAGCCGGAATATCTTCATCTCGTTCATAACTTTATTCAAGGCGTCGATACGGTCAGAATATCACATAGAATTATCAAATATAAAAGAGAAATTATGAGATTTGACGAGCTGACTGAAAACCCAGGTAAAAATAAAAATGGCTTTCGAGATAAACTACCTCATGTCAGTGCTTCCAATACGGAATATACATTCATTAAACCTAATCTAGACATTAAATTCACAGCTAATGATAATAGCTTTAGTAACAATACAGTTAGTGCATCTGAGGTGAAAGGTTTAACTCTTACCATTGAAGAGATGGTTCAGCGATTAAATGAAAATATGTTTCGTGACAAACGAACGTTTCAGTTCTATGAAATCAGACATTTGTATTTTAGAATCAACTCGATATATAATGTTGATTACGTCATCATGGGTAACCTAGTCCATAGACCCCATAATGAATCTAAACGATCAGAGTGGTGGCGACAGAATGTATATGCTCAGAGATCATTCGCTCAGTTAGAATTCATGGAGGAGCAGACATCATCGAGTTCAAAAGAAAAACTCCAGATGCATGTCATACTCAACATGTTTACAAATAGTTCTAGAATATTTCAAACTTTTCCCAATTTTCTCAAACAATTTACAAATATGTTTTTGTCTGGAAAAGGGACTGCATATTCTGGAACGCTTGACATACTATTACATTCGACTGACTCTAAACAAAAAGTAGAATTTATAACGAATCAAATAAGTGGGATTGTAGAACGTTACCCCAGGATTCATGTCAGACATTGGATAGTAAGCCCCTCGACGAATTCACTTCCGTTTCAGCATTTATTTCAGAAAGAAAGTTTATATTTCATAGCGGACGATAGACTCCAGTTTGATGAACAGAGTCTTCAAAATATTATACTGAACACAAAACGAGGTGAACAAGCGTATTTCCCTATAGTTTCCCAGATGTTTGAATCAAATGAGAATGATGAGAACGAAGAAAGTGATGACCCATGCTTTACAGAATCAACTGATGTATATACCATCTATAAACAAGATATTGATTTGTTTCCGAATCTCTCGGTCAACATGCTCTCCAATAGAACAACGATGATTAATACTTTACTAAATCACACAACTCTGTCAGT